AGACGAGAGTAAATTGGCGACTGGAGGGAGATATATTTGTGCCATGCATATTGTGAGGGTCCCTTTTAATTCCTCCCTCGCGTCATGGGAGTCCTGCTCGATCTAACTTCATGGGAGTTTCAACCTGGCCTATAACGTAGGTATCCTCGGGAGTCCTATAACCTGCCCTAACGTAACTTGAATAGTAAACTTCCTATTGTTGTCTGAATTGTGAATTTGGATTTTTAAAATCTAAGAGTATATAATTCAAAAGATTTTTTCTACCTTCTTTTGTTGTTTACGTTTTTTCAAGATACCCCACTATTGCACCACTGTGTGTTTATACGCGAAACATCAATGCAGTGGTTTTTGAAAGTTTGCTTCACAGAAAACTGTTACCCTGTACTAGGAGGCTACCCAAGACAGGTAAATCCCAAGACAGGTTTAAAACTTGGTTCAGTTGCGTACCTATAATTTCGGCTGCACATGCAAAGCTCTGATATACATGACATTTACACGCGCACGTGCTGCGTAAGTAATTAAGAGGTGTGAACGCAGCGTCAACAAGTGCCAAGTAGTCAAGAGGTGTGCGTGTTGCGTTCACACGATGTGCACCGTAAATAAGAGAGACGCGTGTTACGTTAACACGTGCAAGTGTCGCGTAAACAAGAAAGGCGCGTGTTACGTTCATACGTGCGAATGCACCATAAACAACAAGAAAGGCGCGTGTTGCGTTCACACGTGCAAGTGTCGCGTAAACAAGAGAGGTGCGTGTTGCGTTCACACGCGCAAGTGTCGCGTAATCAATAGGAAGCACATGGCATGAACACTTGCCACGTAAGCTAGCTGGAGATGCGATCGTGCCATAGCTTGAAGTTGTGTCTGCTCTTCCCTGACGTATTACCTATCTGTAGGTGCAGAGGCAACATAAAGTGTTATTTCGCAAATGGTCTCTATATGGGAGTATTAATCGCTATTCCTTTTTTTTCTCCCTCGTTTGTCAGAAGTGCTCGAATGAGCGCGACCAGCATTGCTCTGTTCTAAATCTTGACCAGCGTATATAAGGCCAATGCATGCTGAACTTCGGCCGTGGATAAGGATAAACAACCGATGCTATGTGTGTCCATTGCTTGAATTTATGGTGATGTTTTATTCGTTCTACATAGCAGGCTTAAGGCAAAATTTGTGTTCATTTGACACACAGCTCGGCTGCTGTAATGATGCATCGGCCGTTAAGGCTCCAATAGAATGTAAAAGTTTTTGGTTTTATTCATGACGTAAAATTCCGCTGTTGGTGGGAAGTACCAGGAATGTTCTGATAAATATCGAATGCCATCTCTAGCCATCGAGAGCTATTTAGCTCCTGTCAGATATAAATTCATTGAATAAATTAATAAATTTCAATAAAATCAAAAAGAAATTTTGCAACTGTCCATTGGGGTTATTTCATCCATCTTTTATCTTGCTTTCACCTCAAACATTTGATATTCAGTATCGTTTGGCTGATCTCTTTTTCAGCTTACCCTTTTTACTGTCAAAACCAATTTCTTATATAGTTTTCAGTATTCCTTCATTCGTTCAATTATCAATATCATCAAGATAAATGAACTGAATTTAACCTGTCTAGCATCGAGGTTGGCTTCAGAATGTCTCGTAGTTCATTAATTATTTTGCGTTGAATCTTTCTCCGTGATAGAAAATGATGTCCGTATTATAAGTAACGACGGGCGAAAGAAAATTTCTATTCCCTAATCATGTTTAAAAGAGACAATTTGTCCATGAAAATTTCAAATACTTTCTAGAGAAGTCCTGAGCTGTCATGCGAGCGAATAGTTGCGTGCTGTAGTTACTGAAATGTTTTGCGAGTTCTCCGCGGAGTTTGTCTGGCTAGTTCCCTCGTTATCTGTACATTAACTTTCCTCAGGAGGAATATTTTCTTTGCTTTCTTTGGAAGTTTGTGAATTCCATGTGAGTCGTATAATGCAGGCAAATTATTTCTGGTGTCAACAATTTACGCAAGATTTTCAATAGAATGAAGTGAATCCTACTATAAAAGTAATTACTCGGCTATTGACACTACTTTTAACCTTTGACGTCACCTAAAACTATTGTAAAACATTGTTCAAACATTCGGCAAACGTAGAGCCTACAACAAATAACGAAAATCTTTAATATGATACTTTTTAGAATCCTTTTATTGACTACACCGTTGATCTGAACTGCTTTCAAATCTGTCAATAAATTGGAACAGATTCATCGAGTCTTACTATAGCTTACGAATGAAGGAAGATACGACGCAAAGCTATAATTTAAACTTTTCAGGCATCATGAATATCGAATGAAAACAAGTGATTTTGCATATCGTAATTTGGCGCCTTGAAGCGATGTCACTAGAGGGATGTCGCTATCTGTGTATTGCCTAACAAACATCGCCATCCACTTCTTCCGTATTATATCTGCGTCCAGCGCCTGTGTTATCAAAAATAGTTAAGTAATAGTAAGTTAATAAAAATAGTTAAGTTAATAGTAACTCTGTCAGCCAGTCAGTGAGCTAATCAGACCAATCACAGACATAAAATTGGCTACCACGTGTACTTGAGGGAAAACGTGTACCTAAGCGAGCTTAGAAAGTACGGCTTCAGGTTCATCGAAGCCGATACTAGAATTTTGTTAATTTTGTTTGTTGTTTTAAGCAATAAAATCTCTCTGACTCTGTCCCTCTCTGTACATAACGCTCGCCCCGCAACGTACACGACGAAGTCAAAGGACATTAGTGCACGATATGAAAATCTACAAAGTAATTCATTCTAATGTTCAGGCGCACTGTCATGTGAGATATTCGAAGTTGAACCAGATGATCGTGAGCCAACAACACTTTTCGGATTGCTTTTCAATTCGGATTGCTTATACTGATGTTTAAACCTCGACAAGCCGGTTTGTATTAGCTTCTAAAATTTAAGATGTTCTCTGATTGAATCCAAGCTCACATTTATATTTTGCTTAAGTAAAAGCATATATTAGTAAATGGATTAAATGACGGAAATAGTCAACAAAGTCGTTCAACGTCTATCTTATTTTATTGTATTTTCAAATGTCTTTGTAATGAGCGATTTAAATCCTACTATCTTGTTATCTAACCGCACACATTTAATTGATAGTTTTGTATTTTCTGAGAAAATCGTTAAATTTTGTGCCACAAATTCTCATAATAAAATCAATAATTTTAATCTTATTTTATTTGCTTGAAGTGTATGCATGATTGTCTCAGGAAACTCCATCGCACTTTTAGGTAGCTACATAATACCTACATGTTAATTGTTATAATGCACAATGACGATTGTTACATCTCATCTACTGTACCATGCATGTTTCATGTCTTTTGAAAAGATACGTTGCCTCCAGCATGACAATCACAGCACATGTGAGCTGTAATTGTAGTGAATACCTATATAACGAAAATGACGTCGCAATTGAAAATTAAAAAATAATTAACTTCGGGCAGGAAAAATGTCAGTAGGAAAGTCTTTTTCGTTTCCTAGAAAAGTGGAAGAAGTGGGGCTTGTTAATTTTTATAAGAAAGAAGAGAAATGACTATTCTTTTTTCTACAAATTCGATGAAAAATGAAAGGCTTATGTCTTCTGACGAATACAGAGGTCGAAGTAAGGTTTATTTGATTTTCTGTGAATATGGAGGAAGACGCCTTTTAATAGACTTACGCTTCACCGATCGTCGCTCGTGACTTTGGTCGCTCGCCAAATTGTCGCTCGTGAGGTGCCTTCTCTGCTGCAAATATTGGGTGGCTTATCGGTGGCCTCTTGATCATTGATTCTCAGGCACCCATTATTCGGCTATAATATTCTTATGGTTCTAGAATGCATTTATCCTCGAATTCACTGCTTTCTCTCATTGGGGCCTCTCGATTGTCAGACAGATCTGCATACAGTGGGCGTGTGCAGCTATTTCTTGCTCCCTCTACCTATACTGTAGCCGATATGAGTTGTGAGTGTGCAATTCATGGCCCTCATTCAAGTTTGATTAAAAAACAGTGAATGCTTTTAGTGATAATTTTCTTATTTTTTTTATGTACGTTCGATGGTCTTTAATCTAAATTGCATGAACTTCTACCTAACTATACCAAAATTCATGACATGTGAACACCCTCGAGAAGTGTTCGCAGTCGGTAGTAGGTAATACAAAGTATGTGGTGAGTGTGGCACAGGTGCCGGTGGGGACCGGTGGGAACCTGTGGCACATATGCCGGTGGGAACCTGTGGCAAACTGTGGCACAGGTTGCCTCGTGTCGGTGGGCGAGAGAGACACAAGCTTTGCGGGAGCCCCTCTTGCTTGCCAAACTTTGGTTGCTTCTGCTGCTCGTAAGTCAGCTCGCTGCCACAACTTTCGTTGTCTCCCACACTCTCTCTTATTTTGCTCGTGTTCGATGTTCCTGCATACTTCCTGTTGATGCCATGCACTTGTGTGTTGCTCGCCCTCGGTTTATTTTATTCGAGGTTTTAAGAACTTTACGCGGTAGAACTGAGTCAGTTCATTGCTTTCGTGATCTTATTAAAGTATTGCAAACGGGTTCATATATATATTTTTAATAATTACTGAAGAGTGAAGAACGCACTTCCTCTTGTAGGACTCATGAAAGCTAGTCAGTCGTTTACGTTGGCAAACTGTAAGTGTGTGGAGCTTTCATTTGATTTCTTTCTTGTCTGCTGTTTCGTTCGTGTGCATCGCCGCTGATCTTTTCTGTCGCTACTGATTTGAATGGGAGAACAATTTTTTCAAGCCGTCCACCGGTTGTTGCACATTCAGACGTTTCGCGACTACAGTTTTGAGCTGTAATTAAATATTGTTTTCGATTTCTTATAGCAAGTGCTGATATAGGTCATGACGTAAGCATATGAAGTTAATGCTGTTACCGTGGAAAGTTTTGGCTGCTTAAGCTTATTTTGATTACTTATATACGTAAAATGTACTATGTGAGTAATACTGATTGTTTTCATTTTTCTTGCAGAAACATGAATTCGATGCAACGAACTGCAAGAAGCTCATCGTCTACGTTCAGGTGGGTGCTTAGGTGTTACTTTGAATTTATTCAAATTTATATTAATAGCTACGCTTGCTTAGACGTGCACCTCAGTGACTGAAAATTTTCCCCGCCCACTGTTGTCCAAGCCGATGTGACCTATTGTTTTCTACTATTTTACTAATTTTTTAATATTTTACCTAGCAAAATACTAAGTTGACACTATGGAGAAATCTCGCTATGTTATTACTGAAATTGAATTTTTGCGAGCCTGCGAGCTTTAGAGTTTTACTGCGGGCTTAGCAAACGATGTTTGGATATGGCAGGACACTCGTGACTAAATTTTAGAGGATTTAGCACCCTTGATTGTCGAGGCACGCTGATGTTTGTCTTTTTGATTGTGCGGGAGAGTGGCTATCCCGTCCTGCTAGTACCAGGAATATTATTTCTGCCGAGACACTAGCTGTTTACCTTCATTTTCGTAACGTTGAACTTTGTCTTCAGGAGTTTGAAAGTTGAGAATAACTCAAGAATTCCTTGGTGTCGAAGGTTTTTGGTGTACTAGATATTAAATTATGGTATTTATATCAATGTATTTCGTTCGTGTTGAATCTTTTGAGCACATTAAAATACTAAATATAATAAATGGCTTTATTAATAGTTGATCCTATTAATATGAAGTAAGCCAACGTTTGACATCGATGCCAGTAGTGATATCGTGAATAGGGACAAAATTCCAAAGAATAAATCTGATAAAAGTGTTTTAAATTTACTCTACCAATTTCACATCGGTGCTTTTGAGTGTATTCAACCAGTGCTCAAAGCGACCCAGCCCGCAATTGATTGGATTGCATGGAACGCGAATGTTGTATTGATTAAGCCAACTGTGCTGTTCTCTGCATATCAGAGGACGAGAAACCTGTTCGGGGTTTTTTGCTCCCCGGCAGGCATGAGCTCAGTAGTGCAGCTGATACGAGATCTGGTTTTTATAAATCCTAATGTCAAATACTCGGAGAGTGAATGCTTTCAAGTTCAAGTTCTTTTAAATGCAGTGTTGTGTCGTTTGTTTTGAACTCATGCGTTTTTTTTGGATTTGTGGGTTAGCGGCAGATCAAAGGTTTTATAATTGTTGCACGTATTCTCCTAGAGAATAGAATTAACTTCTGTCGTCATGACATTTTTGTGGCGCTTCACATGCAGCTCGTCCAGATAAAGGCGGCGCTAGCTCATGCATCCTCGGACCAGGCAAACCGGTCCCTGAACCGCTGTCGCCAGGCCAACCTGTTAGAGGCTCACTCAAAAATACAGTGATCGTAACTCTGGCCGTAAACTCTGATATTAAGTCTGCATATCCTAGATACATTTTCAACGCAGTCTGGTGATTGTAAATTGTGGTGCCAGGCCATAAATTCTTACATCAAATCTTCACCCTGTTGAAGCATTCCTAATAAATACCGGGTGGCGTAATACCGAGTGTAGCTCGGCCCTCGAGACACGTAATTATTTTTGAAGGTCCTAATCCGCGCTAGAAATAATCGTCATTGAAAGTCTTCTGGCAAATGTTAACGTTTCTAAATCTTTTCAAGAATTGTTCCGCTCTGCTTAATTTCAATTTTGAATTTAATGGTATGTACACGATATCACGATATTTCAATTTTGAAATTAATGGGCAGTATTGTCAACTCCTCTTTTTCTCGAGTTTTAATATCTCCCTATGCAGAGAAGACTGTTCACAATGGGTGATGGTCCTTGAGTGTGCGAGTAATTTTACTCAGAAGATTTAAAGTACGTCTCTGACAACCAATGCGTTTTTAAATCCTACATGAGTTTTTCGCTGCGGAAGTCTTTGTTGGAATTGTCTTCTTATACGCCCGCCTTTGTTTGAATTTTGTATGAATGTGGGCGTCTTTGTTACAGGGCGACCTCACCAAGATCGACCAGAGAGCCGTCTTCCTCACCGTGCACGATCTCGGCTGCAACCGTAAGTTCACATTTGTATTGTGATATTAATACTCTAAGTGAAATATTTAACTATTATTATGTTAGTTAGATATTGATGTAAAATGTGAGATTGAATTATAAGAACAATTTGTGGAAGAATTGTAGACTATGGAACGAATATAAATCCATTCTAGTCGATGCCTCGTCTTCGCAATACGTATCTGTGATATTTATTCAATGTCAGTTAGAAAATTAATTTATATTCACAAGGTGTGCTCGAGCATAAATTACGTGTCGAATGCCTATTTTTGGAGAGATTTCCTGTTAATCGGAATAAATATTCCAATGAGTAAGTAGCGCGGTGAATTGCATCTGATTCATATGAAAGTTACAAACAACTATCTTAATGTTGAGATATTTTCTTTAACAGTGACCAAAACATGAGTCATTTTGAGTGTGATGTGCAATTATATTATTGATTTGCAGTGGCTTATTATCATGTGCAGCGTGATGCTGTTCTAGCGCCTCCGCATGTTGCCTCATGCTTTACCACGCATTTAGCGCTTGTACAAGAAGCCTGTTCAGAATGCTAACTTATCGATCACTGGCTCAGATTTACTTCTCTGTTAATAGTTTCAATGGAAATTTAATTTTGTGAGAATTCTTGCTTGCATTCGAGACCTAAAATTATGATAAATACGAGATGGATAGTCTGACCAATAACTTCGACGTTCTAAGTGGTGAAGATCAGTTGCTAAGATTTTAGTAATAATTTGCAAATTATTCTTACGTCCGATTCTATTGCACCTCTAAATGGTTTCTTTCTTTCTTGAAAATAAAATGCATGCAACTTATACCAAACCCGCAATCTGAGAGAAGCTTACCACAAAAGAAGGATGCGAATAAAAATGAGTTCTGAGTGAAGTGAAGTTCTGAAGCGAGTTGCAAAGTGAGCGAAGTATTTTCTGAGCGTAACAATGTCTATAGATTGAACTGAAAGTCAGTGTGGTTATTATAGTCCCGTACTGAAGCGTTTGTTTGGCGTGAATAATTCCTAGTTTGTTACCAAGAGCCGCTAACTGGTGAGACAAGGAAGCTTTGTATGCCGGTGGCACCGCTTTTTGTACCCGACTGCTGCGCTTCTCCCTGTGCAATAATTGCTCCTATTTAAACTGAGTCTTAGTAACTTAGGTTGCCATTAAGATATATTTAGATCGCCTTTATTATTTAAATTGCTGTGCAGTGTCTCCATTCAGCTGTTTGATCGGCATCATCCATAGTTTTTTTGAATGATATAAAACTATGGCATCATTCGAAACTATAAAATATTTTATTATTATGCCATAGCTCTTCCATCTGTTGATATTAAGCAGCAACAAATAATGCCTCTAATATCCTCATTGCAATGCACCGACCGTTCAGTCTAATGAGGCTCTGATAAAGTCTTTAATTCATACTTCACCTTCTTGTTAACTCAGGCGTCGGCAGCTCATCAGAGGCTCCTGCTGCATATCTTCCTCCTGATCCTCGAAAGCATTTTAGCGCCACTCCTTTAGATGTTGATATTACACATTCCTGGGCAATTTCAATCGGCTTTACATGCAGTTTAACCGACAATTGAATATTCTAAGACCGAGTTTAAGCAGCCTTTTTGCCATTATAAATTAGATACGGCTCATTAATGGCTTATTAAAATAGAGAACTTCTTGCAACATAGACCTTTTTAAACCGTAGTCATTACCGCATAGAAATTTTGGGGAATATAGTCTCTTTTAAAAATGTCAACCTTACTGAAGCATCGGTTTTTTGCGCAGTAGAAATTATTGCCGCAGGCTTTCTCTCCGTAGTCAATAACATTATTGTCCGATCTTCTTTTTCAATATACGTAGGCATTATTGCACCATTGAGATTTTTCACTATAGACATTATTTCATACTTCAGCACATTTCACAATACCCCTTGTTCACCATCACTTGTGTGCTAAGTGTTACCCTGCCGCAGACAATGCGTGGGTGCAGTTCTTGGAGCACCCCGTCATGAAGGAGACCCGCGAGCGCTCCATCTTCATCCACGTGGTCGTGCCCGGCCAGGACGACAACGCGGAGGACCTGCCCAGCGAGTGAGTTCTGCAAGAGGGGTGTCGTCTGTGGCGGGTGCCCTCGATTTGTTATTGAATATAATTATTCGATTCTCACACCTCTGTGTGCATGTATCGTTTTACATCATTTCATCCTCGTAACGAATTGCAGCACTGCGCCACTGATTGTACCTGATACGTTTCTGTTGCTTACTGCCAAGCCTTCACCCTCACTGCATTGTAACTGACACGTTTCTGTTGCTCGCTGCCAATCTTTCTCCTTCCCTGCATCGTACATGACACATTTCAATTGCTTACTGCCAAGCCTTCCCACTTCTTTTCACTATCTGCTCATCATCTCACTAACTCGTTCATCATCCCCATTGATTAACGCCGCTACATGTCAGGCCACCGACATGCATTCCACGTTGGAACAGCTTGTGTGATATGTTCCCAATCTGCATTAATCTGATGATTCTGCCTTTCCCATTCTAATACTTGGGATTTATTTATGATCATCCCTGTCTTTGGTGTTTCTCTTCCACCCTATTAGTCAACTGCGTCGCCAACGATATCCTTCATATCCAACGATATGCCTGCTTACACTTCTTCCTCCTCGATTGTACCTCCCAAACACTTCACTTTTATTTGAACTTTTTGCGGCGAATGGTATGCCACAAGGCACTTTCGATGCCCCCAATCGAAATAATCATATAAAAATGGAATTAATTATGCATAGTAACAGTTTGAAGTTCGTCAGTACGCTGTGAATACGGTTTATTTCAAAATCCTGAGTATATCGTATTTTTGCGGTGAATACTTGTAAATGATCTGAAGCCAACGGTAGCTCTACATTTTTTAACTTTGGGCCTCGAATTCCTGTTATGATTCCAGTTTCCTTCTGATGTTTGAAATAATTACACAATTTTTCTTGTCCACATAAAATCCATACCTTCTAAAATTTCATTGCTACAAGCTTCTTTTTTTGGTTCTTTTTGCAATTGTAAGGATGAAGGTTCCACGTTAATTTTGTTACACGGTAATTTCGTTCTTCTTGATAATTTCGCTTGAAACTCATCCGCTGAGACGACAGCTGCGCGGGCAGAAATTTTATCGACCTCTGAGACGTGACCGCGGACATTGATGGGTCCCGAGCGACTTATAAGCCGGGGCCCAAAGCAGCCGTAATATCGAGCGAAGACTCGTCGAGTCCCACTCAACCGATGCTCGATATGTTGACCCAAACACTCCAACTCGGCGAGTCGAGGGTTTGTCTCTTGAACTGCCAGAACTCGAGCATCGATGCTCGCTCATTCTTTGAGTTGTGATGGCTCGATCAAACGACGCAGACAATATCGTCAGGAGCAAATGGCGCAGATCAAATGACGCAGTTTGAATTAAATGCCTAAAATCTTATATAAATAAATTTTTCTTGTCGTTAGTAATTTATTATTGGAATATCGTTAATTTTTACCAATACACTGCAGCAACTTACAGTCTGGCTCCCAAAATTTTGAGTCAAATGGGGAAAAATGCGCCCATCTTCTATGTCGAGTTCACGATTTCTAAATAAATTCGGGATTGACGCGTTTCGACATTTTTCCCCCCATTTCCCCCTTTACTTTTCGTCAATGACGAGCTCATCTTAAACCTCATCCCCGACACGAAGCAGACATCCCCGACATCCCCTCATACAGTTGATACCTGCTTCGGGAATGATAGATATGTTGTTTATCGGGTCCTAACGACGTTCTAGTGATGGTTAATATTGTCACTGCAAATCGTATCTCGGTAACGTGACGAGAATGCGATCGAAAACTTTGTTTTCCCCCAAAATATGTCACTAATTTAAATATAGTATAATGGCGCCCTGAGTTTCATACTCTTCAACGAATGTGGTTCTTCTAATACTAGCATTCATTGACAATCTGAGACGAAAAATATGGGACTTCAAGTCTTAAATTTTACAGAAATATTGAATTTGGTGTTTGAAATGGTGCTCTGGTAATAGGTATTATGTGGCAGTTTTGAAGTGAAACTTCACTGAATGTAGACTTGAAGACCATGGGCTCAAGTGACACTCTGGAACGCCGACGTTGCCGATGATGCTTTATTGACATTATGTGGCAGTTCCTAAATTAAACTTCTATTGACACGCTGGATCTGGTGTGCAGGATGACGTTCCCGACGATGCAGCAGATCAGCGAGGACCTGCCTGGTGTGCTGGACAAGCTCGAAGTGAAGCTCGTGATCGGTCTGGGCGAGGGCGCGGGTGCCAACATCCTCGCACGCTTCGCCATGGCCGCCCCCGACCGCTGCATGGGGCTCATCCTCATCCACTGCACCGCATCCTCTGCTGGCGTCATGGAGCACTTCAAGGATAAGGCAAGCTTGTCATAACAACTTGTAATAACTTTGTAAACTTGTCAAGGACAAGATAAAGTGTCAAGGACAAGGTAAACTTGTCAAGGACAAGATGAACTTGTCTTATCAACTTGTAACAACTTGGTATAAGTATTTTGGTAGCAATGTATGTTCCGAAGCCAAAGGACTCCTCTGAGATCTGTTACACCTGTAGATCAGGTACGCTATAAGGACAAGCTTTGAGTCGTGGCCTGTGATTCTTCTTATTAAGGTGTAGGTATGCTACGGTTTGGGTTTTTGCTCTAAATACTATGTTTTCACGATTCAAGCACCAATGAACTAAGTAGGACTGTAAACTTGTACGAATCAGTACCCTGCTGCAATGAGGTAAATAGTGCCAGGGACAGGTACAAACGCTACTAACACTTTAAGCGAGGCATTTAATTGTCACTTGATGTTGATGTGGTCCGTCATTGAGCTTCTCTAAGCGGAATGTCGTCAGTGTAAAAGTAATCAATGCACATTTCATCATCTGGCCACGTGTACACTTATGTTGTTTAAATTGGTTCGTAGTCGTGCAGTTGTTTCACATCAAGCTGGTACATGAAGTTCAAATGTGGTTATTTGGGCAGGAAATTTAAGTTTAATTCCTGTTTTTCTTACAGTTCATCAGCTGGAAGCTGTCGAGCGGCGTGCCGTCGTCAGCTGAGCAGTACCTCATCATCCACAAGTTCGGCAACGTAAGTCGTCGTACTGCACGCGGGTTTTCCGCTTTGGTTTCTTGGACTGTTTCACTTTCTTTGAACCAAGTTAATAAATACGGGTGGGCGAACTCTAAGACGAAGTGATCTGTCTGTCGCAACCTACGTAAAATAGCATTTCTATCGAGAATCAAGAGATTGTAAAATTATTCAGACTTGAAATGAATTTACTTTCACTGCTATTGAAGATAATTAGTACGGAAAAGTCAACTACAGCATTGGATTTATAAGAAGGGATTTATTTCGAGATCGTTTACTCTCGCAGGTTTTGGCCAGATCATATGCTTTTTCGCCCTGCAGTTGTTGAAGTGATTAATGAAAGGCGTGCTTAAGATATCATTGCATCGCATGTCTCAAGTGCATTTGCGTCAAACGATATTAACGGCCACATCGCTCAGTCTAGCTTTACTGATAATATCCTGATGGCCAGACTCTTAACTTACGAAGGTTGAGCTCCCGAATGTACAGAGCGTATCACGCAGTGTCGATTGTGTGTGGACCGTAGGTTCACAGTCTTTGGCGATGTGTTGGCTACACGGTTCACTCATTGATCGTGTGATTGCACTCGAGCCTTCAGCAGAGGATGAAATTGACCTCAGTGTCTATTATGTTGTACGCAGGGAAAGTGTTTCACATGCTCATACATATTTCAATGCATTTTTTCTTTCACATTCTTACATGTCGTCAACTCGATCGTCTCTCCGTGTCGTCTTGGCCGATTCTTTCTTCCATGCCTCGACCTTCCTCTCCTCTCCTTTACCACATCCTTTCACTCCATCCATTGCCCTCCCTTCACTAATTGCTGTCATTCTTTCAAAACTCATCTACTTCTCGTATAATAATTTCTATCACTTTTTTTGTTTCCTCTCCTTTTGGCTGTTCTACGTCTTTGCATTAGACTGTCCCGTCTTTTTTCTCACTCGACGTTATTAAAAGTTTATATCATTTTCTTTATCCGTCTATCCCAAATTCGAATAATTATTGTTTTCTATTTTTGATCATACTGTTCCTTTGCCACGATCATCACACACATTCATCTTCGTTTTCTCAATATTTTATTTGTCATGTTTCGTTGCCCTTAAAAACGGGCGTGTTCTTCTCTTGATGGCTGTGCATCATTTTGTTTGCTGACGTTAAGTAATTCGTTTTTTTTTTTGTGATCACTGCTTTGCTAATTTGGCCGACTGAAACGTTATTCATTAACCTGCTACATTGTTCCTTTTGATAATAAATGAAACAATTATAATTTGAACTCAAATCTTCCTATGAAGTTTTTGAAACTGGCCTCTCGTGCATTGAATTCACACAATTATCATTGTAACTGATCTGACATAACATGACAAAAATTTTCCTTTCTTCCTTCACCCATTATTGTTGGTCAAAACCGATATTGTTAATGGTCGCGTACCGCCTCTCTCGCTGCAACGGAATTAATTAATATTTTGACTGCCTCTGGCTCCTGGTTGGTCTCGGTTCTTCCTTGTCATTGACGTCTTCACCACGCGTTTACACTGGCACCGCCTCTGAAAGCCAATTCCTCCGAGCCTTTGATGACACCCTTTCGTCCTTCAACAAAAGTTTTCATCTTCTCCTTGCCCTTACCTTAGAATCTTTCTCATTATAATCGATTTTTCGCTTGGGCATCATTTTCGGACTTGAATCTGTTTCCAATACACGCTTCCTTTAACGCTCAACTTTCGTTGGTGAACACTCGTCATTTAAACTAATTATTCTCCTGCTCAATGCACATTCTTCCTCAATTCCGTGTTACTGATCTTCATCGAACGCGACGTTCGATATAAGCACTCAAATTCAACTTTATTTAACCCAAACACTAGATAATTCCTCTCAAATATATATATTTTTTATTTTTCGCCTTGTTGCTTCGATACCTTGTCTCTTCTTCTATGACACAAACCCCTCTAACCATTTATCATGCGGTCAATGTTTTGATAGGGATTTTCTCGATTTTTTATCCAAAAAAATTCTTGACGACCATTCCTTTTTCCTTTTCGAGTTCCATATTCATCTCCCTCTATTCGCGCCGTCCATCGTCCCTGGCACTTGCTCCATGCAAGTGACACTCCTTTACACGATTGGTTCCTTTGATCTTCTCCGACGACCTTTCGCCTTCATATCGTGGCGAAATCATTATCGTATTCTTACCTCACACATCGATTTTCCTTCCTAAGCCACCGTCTATCCTCTTCCTACTTCTGCCGACATCATCTGCCCTCTCCCTCAATAACCTTTTCCCCTCTCGTCCCTCACACATCGCCTGCCCTCTGCAGCGTCTGGTCGAGGTACGGTCGCGTGACTCGTGCCCCAAGCTGGGGTTCAGTTTTGCCGTAGACGCTCCCTTTTGGGGCTCATTTAGTTCACTTTAACCCCGTCTGCTAGAGACACTTCAGTAGCTTAGCCCCGCGCGCACCACTAACGCCCTTCTCAAGATTTTAAAGTATAAACTGCTTCTTTCTGCTGTCACTTTGAACCATTCATATATTGGTTCTTGCATTAGATACAAATCAATTCATTGCATTTTGTGGGTTTAAATATAATTAATTAATTGATTATATCCTAATTAATTATATGCTCGGACGAGTATCTTTCATTATATCCTCATACGAGTATCGTGGATGCGGTCTTTGAGGTTTTGCTTGCCGGTGGTGAATTCTGAGGACAAGGGTTTTAGGCTATCCTCGTTTTGATGCCACAAATATGAGAGGATTGAGGAAATGCTTAATAGGCATCAAATGAGTCATTCAACGTTTTTCAATCACATATTGAAGTGGATTACACGTTCATAGTTGTGGAATGTCGGGTTCATGCAGAGGTGAGCGATGTTTGCTTACAAAATTAATCATAGCCAAGTTCGTTGCTGGGGGTGTAGGCCTACTAGCCTCTAGATTGGTCAGCAGCTGTGAAAGCCTAACGGGCATTTGAAGGATGAGCATGCAGCTCTCATTTGTTTGAGAAATCCTTGAAGGCGAAATTCGGCGTTTAAGTTTTTAAGTGAAAATTCATTGAACTGTCATGTCTTTGCCGAGAAAGAAACAATCATCAAAGTAGTTGTACCTTGAAAGTTTACCTTACCTGCTTCATCACCCTTTGCAATTTAGTACTAACAACAACAGCACGTTAGTCCATGATATGTTAAGATCTGATAATAATAATTGTATATTAAATAACTGAGATGCACATCTCCATGAGATTTTTAGAGTGGGTTTAAGCTTTATTTACGTTTGAGTTTAACTTAAAACGTAAATGTAAATAGATAGTAGTCTCGACTAACGCTTTCTCTTTTGGTAATATAGTACCAGCTTTCATGTTCTTCATTTTTAATTGACTACCATAAACAAGGATTGTAATTTGCTCTTATATTCAGCTGTACATTTGATGCTAGTGTTGGCTTCATATGCTGGGAGGCGTGCGTGCTCTACTACTTACAAGCAGCCGTAACATTTACTGAGTGATGAGAGGAGCTGTGCTGCGTGTCATGCTATATTATAGTCACATTATTGTTATTTTGTAGAGATTTCATGTTATTGTTCGGTTCGTTTTTCTTCCGGATCCTATTTTTACGATTGTTTTAATCATGACACATATTCTTAACATTATTATACTTTTAAATATTCCTTTTCATGTTTTCTAGTGCCTATCTATGTATTTGCTCATTTGCTCCTCATTTTCAGAGCATGAGATCAGATGCAATTAGATTTTATATCGTATTACTTTAACACTGCATCAATTATTACAAGGCTCTATGTAGGCAGAATTGCTTACTGGACTCGAAGGTACTTTTTATATTGGTTTTTGCTTAATATAGTAAGAAAACATCCTGATGAATGTATGCGATCGTGAATAATGGTATATTACGGGCACAATTTTATTAATAATAACAGTGGTGTCGTTGTTGCAGCAACTGGAGTCGGCCGAGAACAAGGAGAGCCTCATCAAGGAGTTCCAGGACCGCCTGCAGTCGAAGATCAACCCCCGCAACCTCCGCAAATACGTTGAGGCTTTCCTCAAGTAATTCGCTGTCTTTAATTACCAACCTTAAAATGCACGCGTCTTGTTTCGTTATTCGTGCCTTAAAAATTAAGGGATATCCAAAGTTAAGAGTTGTTGTTCTCCCCATCCTTAGCATATGATTTACGGTAAAAATCTCCCCATTTCTAATGTCATTCAATCTACGAATTCACTAAAAAATCTAGCCGGTTGTGTGTTTTTGAATGACATTTAATGGTATTCAAAAGAAATGTTGTATTTCGCCTGCTGTTTGCTCACTTATTTCAACATGAACACATTGCTGTGGGCTCACTCTAAAAGCAAACTAGGCCCAAGCATCAGCGTTAAATACGGCTCGTGATCGTAATTCCAACCCACTCCATGTTCATGTTCCAAGGGAATTCAAACTCTACTTGTATTCGCTATATAATGTTTCAAGTTCAAGCCCTAAACTTTCCTCCGTCACGTCTCCGCACCAAACAATAACTAGCGCAGCGTTCCTAGAGTGCGGACGTGAACAGTAAGATCGTCTCTAAACCTAAAATTTCAAAAATGTCTTCAATTAAAACCCTAACAACATTGTCCACAGAGTGGTACATATATGCACGAATAGGTGGATTTTTTTCATAGACTGTTTGCCACGACCATTTCCATTACAATGTTTGTTTACCTTTTATATTTCTTGCCTAATATTTGAGCAATAGCATGTGTAAGGGGAAACGTTGTCTACGTGTAAATTAACGTGTCACACTGCGTGTTACTTTTGGTGCATTAAATACGGGGGTAATTCTGACTGTGTTTCTCGTGTTCAGACGCTCGGACTTCTCGAGCAAACTGGAGTCGAAGTTGGGCGTAGAGACGCTCCTGGTGACAGGCTCGAAGGCTTCCCACGTCAACGCCGTGCATACCATGCACCAGGCCTGCAACAAGACCAAGGCATCGCTGCTCAAGATCGACGACGTCGGAGACGTGCTTTCTGAGACTGTGAGTTCTTTAATGCTTGTCCAGGCGAAATAAGTTATTAGGTGTGGGGTGACGTGGGTAAGGGACGTTGGTGGCGTATCTTGGAGACAGAGTTTTTGATTAATGATTTCGCAGCAAATATAAATTATTAGGTATGAATATGATGAATCGAACCCAGGATTTTGATTGCCGGAAAAATAATCGTTACATTGTTTATCAAAATAGATACCGCAGATCTTTTGAGGAGATAACAATTGTCCATATCGAATTAATAATTTTAACGTGGTGAAGACAGACTTTCTAAATCAAAGAAGATTGCAACGTGTGTGTTTCTTCAGTCCATTATAAAAAACGAGAAGCTATTTTCAGAAAATTCAATTGATGTGTTCGGCGAATTCAGGTAGGTACAGCTTGAAGGAATATATTCCAGAATAGTTTAATAATTGCCACTAAGTGTCGAGTACGAAGTGAAGAAGCACTCGTATAATGAATTCTCTGCTAAAAAAGCATCTCAAACGAATCAATAATAATTTTTTAACATTTTCAACCCTCTAGCTTCTTACAAAATTCCACGTTACGGGGCCTTTATATACGAGTGTCAAGAACAGTTAATGCACTCGTAGTCATAAGAAGTTAACAGCTCTACCGTCAAGGTTCTCCACTCTGGAATCACTAAAACAATGAGCAAGCATCACTAGATATTCTTTGTACCAGCCATGTCTTTGCACCGCGTCTAACACCCGCCTCGCTGTGCAGCCGGACAAGTTCGCCCAGTCGCTGCTGCTGTTCTGTAAGGGCCTCGGCGTGCTGACCTCGGTGCCGCTGACCGGCGTTGACCGCCCAAGAATGGGCAGCGCGTCGGGCAAGGGTGTGTATTGGTGTATATTTATAATATTTGCGTATATATGCAATGGTCACATTCTATTATTATTATTATAAGAAATTTCCTGCACTTGTTTGTGAATTTATTAGCTGATATTAATTTAGCCTGATTTTCCATAATAACGAACGAATTGACGTCATTGTATACGTATATTACAACTGATTATTGTACTGCCAGATACTATGTTCATTACGTTTAAAAACCCCAGTATTTCATGTCTAGCCCGTTTACAAGAAATTCATAAAGTTTTGAGTACCATCTCCAAATTTAAAGCCTGTTGATGGCTGAGAATCAAAACCTGTAATGTCATCTCCAAATCTAAAGCCCACTAAGATAAAGTGCTAAGCGTCATATTCGACGCTAAGGCTAACAAGCGAGCACTTGTGACCGTGTTTTTCTTTATTTTACAGGCGGCTTGGTACGCCAGCGCACCATGAGCATGGAAGAGTACGACACGCCGAACCTCAGGCGTTTCTCCTTCTCTTCCATCACTCCTGCTAACTAGAAGACCATGGGCCACAAACTCAGACAAACTTGCGATGTTCATTCTGGTGTATTGCTTTCAATGGGTTAGTTAAGTTTCATTCTTGAACGCTTATTAGCTGATGGGTTTACGACATTGTTGTAATTTCTGAGACTCTTCAACCTGTTCAGACCCATTGCCCAAGTTTCATCGTATCCTAAATACGGTCATTGTTCCTTAAATTGTCATCCACAGTTGCCTTTGGGAGGAAAGCTCCCCGAATTTATAACGAGGTCGCATTTCAATCGTAAATGACGCATTTGTATATTATATAGCATCTCTGTCAGTGGTTACTTACGGTTAAGGTTAGATCAACTTTACACCGTTGCTACAGGCCCTTGTTTTTGTCCAAATTAATGATGTTGACTTCCAAATCCGCGATTCAATGAAATCTGACTTCCAGTTTCATACTAAGAGGATTTTTGACTGGGAAGTTCTGCGCAGAATGAACTGACCGCAATGCCAAGGTCCCTCTCTCCCCCGCAGCTGTGACACATCAGACGCTTGTATATACGAACGCATTTGTAAGGACGAGAAAACACCTTTCGATGGAATAGTTCTCCTTATGATAGCTTACTTTGCTCAAATTTGTTTTTCTTTAGTTAAATTCGGCGGATTATTCGTAACTGAACGTATTTTCTCGTTTCCTGGCATGCTTTAGGATTAAATTTTCATTGACGATTACTTTTGTGTTTGTTAGATTTAAGACTATTTTGTACGTCCTCTCTCTATAAGCCTTCGGTTTCGTTCGCTCTGTGGGAATGTCATTGGTACCCTTACGCTTTGTTTTATTTTTTCCTCCTCCCTGATATTTTTTAATTCGTTGTTACGTATAATTTGATTTAGTGGTAGTCTAGAAGCCTTTTTTGCTATGCAAGTTCCGTTCTACAAGGGAACGCACTGCAACATCAACGGCCCAATACAACAGTTCAGTGCTCCACATCCATCAGCCCAGGGAGAGCACTAAATGCTTCTTCATCATAGTCGGAATGTTATTGTAGAATTATTTAAAGCACCAATATTTTCCGATATAAAACATTAAATTTGAAATCTACGACAAGCTGTATTATTTCACTTATGAAGCGCTGTTTAAAACCGGATTTTCTGAAGAGTATCCCTCTTGGCCCTGTGAAGGTCTGTGTAATTACGTTTCTGAAGCAAGGTTGAGAGCAATCGAATCTAATCAGTCCAAACGAAGTCTAATGCTACGATTACGTGAAGTTGTTGAATGTTGCAGTCGTTGCGACAACGTGCCTGTTTAAGGCTCAAATGTTGTTCTCCTGACCCGCTATCTCGGAAATTGTTACGGTGACTCATGATGATCACTGATCATGTTCTTCGACTGTAAGTGGCAAGATTTGAAACGTGACTTTCAATTGTTGATAAGTTCAACGACAACGTAACAAACTCTGAATATGGAACCTCTGGGTCTGTCTCCTACATGCCTATGTCGCCATCAATGAAAAAGTTTAGCGTGCTTGTATCATTCAAGGTACTGGCATGCAGGAGGTCATTTCCTAACTAGCTTTTAACTTAGGCCTCAAGCTGCCTGTTGCGCCTTTGACAACACTGCTTTCATTGATTTAAGAGTCTCACTACCCCCTTGCAGTTGATGTGTAGCGTTTCAATTCATGAGGATATTGAGAGCAATACAGTTTATGTGGATGCCTTACCAATCTTTCGAGCCTTTACAGCCGGCGTCTCTTAAGGTGACATCCGTCGGGGCACGTTGCTGAGAGTAGCCCTCACAGCCTACTGTAGAATTTTTACAGCTTACAATAATGTTTACATTAAGTTTCTAGCTTCACGGACGTCCTAGAAACCATTTCAAAGTTTCAATAACGCTTACAGCAACTGTTCACAGCACACAATTAAGCTAACTTAGAATGGAATTTTACCGTTTGTGCAATCCTCTTGTGTGGTAGTAGTTTTTCATATCAGGATTACGTCCTCTAACATTTTTTCGGTGATCGTAAGTTTGGGATCGACGCCCGGTACTGCAAAAGTAGAATTGGATACCGTAAATGGTGATTACTGATAGATTAATGGGCAACAATTTTCGAAATCCATACCTAACGGACGGAAATTGGTTGTAATGTATTAAAAATTCCTACTATTTCAGGCAAGAAAAGGCGGCAATATGAAAGTGTCCATGCATTTCATGAGTTAGCTGCCTAGAACTAACGGCATCCATACACTCATAGATCCTTGTTTTTTGTTGATCATGTTTCATGGTATGGTTAATATATTGCTTATTATGCATTGTATGATGTACAAGATTCACAATAAGAGCAGATGAAAACAGGTATTTTTATGGACTATTTGCGTTTAATTTGTTCCTTTCATCAAACGCATCGAGGATTTCGTTTGATGCTGCAACTGATACGAAAACTGCCGCTGCAAACACCAACATACAATGAATGATGAACATTCGTATCACGGGTATAAAAGATCTGGATACTGCGTTTTTTGATCGGCATTTACAGTTCTCCTTCTTGTGATCGGTGGATAGATCATAAAGAATTTTTTCTCAAAACAATTGCTTAGTAACAAAAACTTGTTGGGAACATTGGAAAATCGGACTATAATTGAATGTAAAGAAATATATATTTTAAAGATAATAATAAACCATCTCGATTCGAGCCTTAAATGATTACTACCATTACTACGCGATGCAGAAGCTAATTAATAACTTTGTACTTTGTAAAATATGTACTGTTGCTAAGTGATAAATTCCTTGGGTGGGGTTGATTTTAGAGGAGAATAGAAAAAGCTATTTATTTACATTCTCTTTCAGGAAAGACAACGGATACTCGTGAACTTCAAACAACACTTTTGCAGTTGTGAAATGATTAAATTTCATGGTTGGGGGTAATATGACGGTGAATTTGAAAATGTATTGCTATTAATTTTATTTCAGAAACCACTGAACAGATCTTCGTAAAATTATAACAGCGATATTATGGTTCCCAACTAAACACGAGAAATATGGCAGTTTTACTCTTGCGCAGTGGCTGTAGTAATTTCAGATGTGCAGCTTCAATTGTTTTTTTTATTAGGTAATTAACAGATAACTGCCGTTAACTAATCTGGATCTCTAACAAACTCGAGAAATAAGTTTATTTTACACCTATGCAGTGGCCGGAATCATTTGAGGTATGCAGGCTTTATCATGTCTAAAATAGCTAATTAAACAATACTCCCACATATGATCTTGGAACTCAACCAACCTCGATGAATGTGTGACTTCCATACCTGCACACTAGCTGTATTCATTTCGGCTATGTTGGTTTGGTCGCTTCTGCATTATGTAGTTAAATGATAACCTACGCAAACGAACTTCGATCTTAACCAACCTCGAGAAATATCTTAATTTCACTTTTACGCAGTGGTTCTAATAATCTCAATATTGTGAAATCAGTAGTTTCTAAAAAGTTAATTATTCATAGAGCAAGCTACAAGAAAATCCGTGTCGATTTTTGGCCCATAATATAGTTTCATAAACTACAGATAAAAATTACCAATAATATATTTTCATGAATAAATATAGGTCTTCTAACCTGCTCAAGTCGTTCAAGTCATAACTGAACAACATGAAATAAAATGCGACTATTAGAATTCTCACTGCGAAAATTATTTTGTGATTTTTGCAATTTCGTCTAGATTGTTGGGGATTTTGCTGCCAATATTGTAACAACATTGTTGGATAAATAATCTTTGTGGAGTTTTTTGAATCTCTTATGTCGGCCTCACTCAAACACTAAGCTAAAAATCAGTTTCCACTTTCATGTTAACCTAATTTGCACACAGTAGTTTTTCAAGTGAAATATAAAGAAAAAAAAACGTTAAAAAATTGTGTTCAATCAAATATACATACATTTTTCCTCCGCCTATAGCTTCATTTTTGATTGTTGAATTTTTTGTTCGAATCAACTTAGTTTTGTTCGAATTAGCTTAGTTTTTTTTGCAAAATTAGGCAATTAACCGAAAATTGCCGCAAACGAAGTTTGATCTCAACCAAAGCCAAAAAATATTGTAATTTTACTCCTGTGCAATAGCTGTAACAATTTCAGGTGTAAGGGTTTAGTTCTTCCTTAATTAGGCAACTAACCGAAAAATGCCCCAAAAAGACTTGGATCTCAACCAGAATTAGGAAATTTGGTAATTTAACACCTGTGCAATGGATATAATAGTTTCAGAAATGCGGTTTTAACTGTTTCCGATTTAGGTATTTTACAGATAACTGCCGCGAATTTGCGATGCGAGTATTTGGATCTCGATATATTTGCTAACTTTACTCCTTCACAGAGGCTGTGATCATTTGAGGTATGTGGGCTTAGTTATTTCTAAAATAACTAATTAATACATCACTGCCATAAATGTTCCTGGATTTCCACCAAACTCGGAAAACGTGCGATTTTCATACCTGCATAGTATAGCTGTATCAATTTCAGCTAAATGGGTGAATTAGATGATAAAAGCTTCTGAATTAGATGATAAACTCCTCTAACGAACTTGGACCTCCACCAAACTCGAAATATATATAAATTTTGCATATGCGCAGCACCCGTAATAATCTCAAGTTTGAGAAAATCATTGTTTTCTAGTTTTGTTAATATTGGCGCAAGTTGCCAAAAAATATGTCGATTGTTGGCAAAAAACATCCATTATATAGTTTTTTGAAATTAATAAGTCCCCCAACTTGCTCCAGTCTTTCAGGCCATAACAGATTAACATGGAATCAAAACGCTACTATACCGATACCTCCTTCCCGAAGCCATTTTGTGATTTTTGCAATTTTGTCTATATTTTGGGAGGGGGTTTTTCTGCAATTTTTGTCGCAATATTGTTGAAGGAATTAACTTCGCAAAGTTTTTAAATCTATACCGTACTATGTTAGCTCGGCTTAAAATGAAAGTTAAAAATAAGATCACTCATTGGTGTTAAATTAATTTGCATATATCAATTTTTCAAGTGGAATATCTAAAACAAAACACAAGAAAATGCATTGAAATGACACGCACATACATTTCTTGCGTTAAACGCTTTATTTTTTATTGAATTTTTGCTCAAACCAACATTAGATCTGGATCAAAATTAGTCATTACTAAAAGCCAACAGCCAAGTCTATGAAATGAGATGTAGCAATGGAATATCGGGAATACAGTTTGTAGACTTTTATCGTGTAACATGTGATATTTTAGTTCTTGTAGAATAATATAGACAAGAAACTATATTAACTAATATCATAAAAAAATATCTTTAAATTTACTTAACAAACGCTGATTATTAGAAAAAAAATCCACCCCACGATGTACTATTTTCGTACATGCAAAATGTGATCCCTCCAAGTAAGCCGTTCAACAGAAGGCATTTACTGGAGCAGTTAATATGTGACTAGGGCCTACTGATCCGTATCCAGCGCATCTAAATCGAGGACTCTGTCAAAAATGGTGCATTTCCTTAATAATCTACTACCTCCAATTACCTCATGAGACCGACATACTCAAGTATGGAACACAGTCGAGAAACGCAGCACGAACGTAAATCACTAAATTCGTTCAGAATAGTCACACAGAATAACAATCATCAGTAAACCGGGGCCATACTTTCAAAACGCGCTAAGTGAACGCAAGTACTTACGCTCTACTTTCTTGTCTATAATTGGTGGATTTTGCTTGAAAGGCCGTCAAGGATAGGCTGATGAACTTACGATCTATTAACTTTTTTGAAAGTATAGGCCCAGGTTTAGTTTATCTTGATTTACATATACATCTGAATGCCAGTGAGGCGGTGCTTGCTCGTAAAAGTCACGTTAATATATGCGTGTTCATTAAAAGAATCCGGTGTCCTGGTCTCCAATAACGACTTCAGAATTTTAAATTCTACAACAGGTTTTTCAGATTTACGAATTTTAATATCCCTTATTTTGTAAACAGAAGCATTGCTGCCTCCCAGTTCTTATTCCCTTGAGATCGTAAACAGAAGGCAGGTGTCTCGTATTAAGTTGCTCCCATCCTATGAATCAAGAGATATTGAGATGTGACGGGAAAAATACATAAATACATACAAAAATACATTTTTTCTTTCAGCTACGTTTAGAATAGCCAGGAGTGAAATTTTCGAATAAATTGTATTTCCAAGTGCTGTCGATACTAAATTACGTATGTGCAGTTATGTTTGTCTGTTGATACCAAAGATCGTTAGTACAGAGAGTATATATGCTTGTTTGTAACTCTTCGTCGTGGATTATTTTCATATTATAGATTGACTCAATCGGATCCGAACGTGATAAATTTTGTTGAACTATGTGGTATATTTCTGCTCGATTGTGTATTGGCAACGTTATTAATGAGCTAGTAGTCTACAAAAAAATTATGTTGATACGGACAGAAATTGGTTCCGAGCTTCACGTTTGTTTTCAATACGCTTTGTAATAAGTTTATCCTATAGGTCAGTGCGCGGTGTAATAGGTTTTGAAACTATGATATTTTTACAATAAAAAGATGAAATACTGTACTTGATTTTATCGATCCACTTTATCGAATTATGATTGTCGAAAATGTTTATAGTTTGTGTTTATACTTGCTTCAGAACACGCAGAGGTGGAGATGATTGGTTCTACAATGTAAACAGTGAAGATTGCCCTCAAACATTCGATGTAAACACGATGTAATCATTGAGAAATAATTATTTAAATATTTGGCAAAAATATGAGACGTGCAGAAATTAAGAACGATCATCCCTAATGCTCCTTTTACAATAATTTCTTTCGAAATATTGCCAGGGAAATGAAAATCGAGGTGAATTCTATGGAACGATTATGCAATCTATTATTTTTATCCTTAGTATTATCCGACATACTTTTCACGTTTATCTTTAATATTCCGATGTAATTTTTTCCGCAACTTTAAGTTTTTTGTAAAACTTTGCTGCAACTTTTTGTCAAATTTCAGCGTAAGTCGTGCAACACATAAAAGAAAAACTTATGACTGGCAGGCTTTTGCGACCGAAATCTTGTTCCTTAAAATTTTAGCATGAAAAAATGTCATAGTGATTCAATTATTCTTCAATTATGAAGGGAAATAACAAAAAAGATTAAAAAAATGAAGCTATCCACGATCTACTGGAGATATGTGGTCTAAATTTTCTCAACGAGGATTATGTGCTGACAAAAATCTTAGGATTTGAATTGTAATTTCTAAATTTAGGCAGGGGGACAGTTGGCGGAGGCGGGCGCCCGGAACTGTAGCGCCACGATCACGTACGACGCAGTGAAGGCCACCGTCTGCGTGAGTAACAACGGTGCATCATTATAG